CGCATGCGGCTCTTTGGCCCCTTGGGTGTGGCTCTTCCTAAGCCTTAGGAGTACCCTAATTAAGTTAATAACAATGTACCTACCTATATAGTGTAAGTTTAAAAAATTCGGCTCTCAAAAGAAATTTCAGTCGTTGTACTGTTGATGTTTGGCTCTGTTGACTAATGAGTTTGCCGACCACTGGGCTGGGGGGTGGATTGTGGGAGGGTAGGGGAGTGGGGAGGGTAAGGCAGAGGATGGCAGGCCTGGGTTCAAGCCCCAGCTCCATCATTTATGGACAGTGTGGTCTCAGATACTTTTTTAACCTCTCAGACCTTTGATCTCTTGCTCTATTTAAAGGAGGGAAATGATCTTGCATGGGGAAGATTACATTATTGGAAATTGACCGAAGCCTGTGGCATGTGGCAATTTGCCCCTGTATTGTCACAAAATGTATCTCTATGTGGAAAGTTAAAATGCACACGAGGAAATAAGGTCCCACGGAAAAGAGTCAGCAGGATCATCAAACAGGGGATCAAATCCCAAAAGATAGCAAGGATATTTGAATAACCAGCCACAGAATACAAAATCAGTCTATTTAATGTTTGGAGTCATGAGAGGGAATAAAAGTCTAAGCAAAGAATAAGTAAGTAGCCAGAAAGAACAGGTTAGCAAAAGCAGCAAAGGGAAATTCAGAAATGACACATACAGTCATTTAAAATTCAATGAATAATAAGAGGCCTGGGATTTGTTCTGAAATAAACCAGCACAGGTGGCAGGAAGGCAGGACGAGCCTGGCGGCGAATGATGTAAACTCGGTCCCAGGCTGCCGGCTCAGATCCCAGCGGTGACCACACCCAGCAACGTGGCCTTCAGCAAGTGGTCTAGCCTTTCCACCCTCATTTTTTTCTATCTTAAAAGAAGGGGGCAGAGGGAATATAGCACTCACTCTATAGAGTTCTTGTACAACTGGAAATACATTTACCATAAAGCAGTGCCTGGCACATGCTACATGCTATGCATAAACGTAGCCGTTGTTATGACTAAAAAGAAGCCCCAAAGAATCTATAATCGAATTACTAGAATTACTAGGTGAGCTGAGTAAGGCTTCTGGATATAAGATTAGTGCACAGAAATTAAAAGTACCTCTGTGCATCTAAGCAGGAAAGTTAGAGAAGGTGACTTTAAAAAGATACCATTTGTAATAAACAGCAAAAATAAAAAATGCTCATTTAAATAAATCTAACAAAAGCTGCATCATCTTTATAGATTAAAAAATTAGAAAATGTTAGTGGCAGATATTGAAGAAAGGTTTGAATTGATGGATCTGAATACCGTATTCATGAGTTGGAAAACTCATTCTCATAGCACTGACACCGGCCCCTAAACTGAGCTGTAGATGCAAGGTACTTGCAACAAAAGCTCAACAGAGCTTTTCGTGGAAACTGGCAACATGATTCTAGAATTTGTATGAAAGAGTAAATGACCTAGGATAGCCAAGACACTGCTGGTGGTGGTGGTGGTATAAGGGATGGGGGGAGGGAGATTACCCAACCCGGTATCAGGCTACTAATAATACCTTGGAAATAAAAAGTGTAACATTAGACCAAGGGGCCGAAGAGAGAGCCTGGAAGATGATCCGGGCTCTTAGGAAACCCGATGGGTGCCAGCCATCGCACTGCAGGTCACTGGGGGGACAGGCGGACTGTTCAATCAGAGGGCCTGAGGCAACAGGTAACCCACACAAAGGAGGCATTAAAATGACTTCCTGCTTCACACTAAACACAGAAATCAACTCCAGGTGGTTACAGGCTTAAATGTGAACCGAAAAACTAAATATCGTTAGGAGATTATAGAAAATCCTACCGGCGTGACTCAGCAGGCCATGGGGTTTCGTCAACCTGCCCTTCACCCCAAATCCATTCATCAGCCTAGGCTGCCCGCTCCACCTCACACAAATGCCCAGAGTCCTGCCACACAGACCTTCTCCGGGAGCTCCCTGGGCCACCATTGCACAGGGGTGCCCTCCAGGGTAGAGCCACGCACCAGCCTGCTGCCTGACCAGCCGCCACCCTCTGTCCCAGTCACCTCTTCACTGCTCTCGGTGTCCCTCCAGCTCCCCACCTCTCAGCACAGCAATCAGAACAACCCTTTCACCTCAGTCAGACAGGGCCCTTCTCCAGCTTACAGACCCTCCCTGGCTTCCCTCTCACTGAGACAGAAGACCCTCCATGCCCCACCCCCCCATTTCCTCCCCTTACTCCTTCCAGCCACAGGGTGCCTCCCACCTGGAACAGCAAGGGCAGAGGCCAACCTGGAGGGTGGAGATGGAGAGGGTGCCCGGGGCAGCACCCTGACAGCTAAGGGTGACACCGAATTCGTGGCACTTGCCAATTTCTGGAGTCTAAGGCCTACCATGGCCAGTGGTAAGACGGCACTGTGCTACCCCTCAGTCAGTCCAGGAAGATCTCACAATCAAATATTAGGAGCTGTTACTACGACGCACACTGGTGTTTTGCTCAGATGGGACGATGGGTACACAGACTTTCTTTACACTATTCTCTTACAGTTCTGTAGACG